ACGAGTTTCTTGAAAACAGAAATGTGTAGCTTATTTTTTATATAATTTTGTGGATAACTTTTTTTTTGTTGTTGTTAAGACTAAATTAGGAATGACAACAACAACAATATTAACAATAATATAGGAAGAAAATCTTGCAAGATCTTCCACAAGTACAAATAACAATATTCAGCATATTTTTGAGTTAAATACATTTTTTTGAAATATATCATCCAAAAGTAAAGGTATGATTTACGCAGAAATCAAATCATTTCATAAGTAATTTGTGAAAATGAAACTTTTATATTTTCTGAAAAGATGTCGTATGGAACTACTGTAAAATATAGAGGTATTGCCTTTTTTCAAATCCAAGTTGGAAATTCAACATACATATCCGGTTTTTGATGCATGAAGAAATTTTTGATCATTTATGTAAAATTAAATACTTTTAAATATTAAAAATACTTAAAAATATTATTATTTATATTAATTTAAAAGTAAATATTTTTAAATATTAAAAATATTTAATAAAACTAAAACTAGGTCAATAATTAACGGCTCTCACTTTTCTAAGAAACACAGTGAAAATGACATACTACTCGTATAGTTTCTAGTGAGGACACCTAATTTTTTTTAAATTAAGATTTTTTTCCCTTGAACTTACTTTATTCTCTTTTTATTTTTTAGGAATTATTTCATATCATCATAATAAAATTTAAGGTAATTTATGTTTACTCTAGGAAGCGCTTTCATTTCCAAGGAAACGTACTTCTAAAAACTTGCGGGAATCTCTGGAAATGGTGTCCCGGGTTCTTGGGAAACAATCGGTGGTAGGAACGCTATAAAATTAATCTTTGTTGTACAGAAAAGCTTTCCAATAATAATTCGGCGTTAAAATTCTTTTTTTTTTTTTTTTTTGAATTCAAAGTTATTACTAATATTAAATAGTTCCAAAGGTTTACTAAAGTTTAGAGGCCTTTAACGATATATTTGTCAGTTTTTCATCGAAGAGATCTAGTAATTTCCTTTTCATAAAATAAAGCACAATGCTTTGAAGTAAATCAATGCTATGATGAAACGTTGGCACTTTGAATCGAAGTAATGAAAAAAATAAAAAATGAGCAAAAATTTTTAGCATCTGTCTTAAAGAATATCTAAAAATGTAAAAATAAGAAGCGACAATTCGATGAAATAAAAAAAATTAGAAAGTTGTGCTGTTTAGAAAGATTTTCTCTGTACAGAGAAATTAAGAAACATAAAATATAGATGCATTAATTTGTTAAATTATACAGAAAATTCATTGCTGTTATGAGCTATAACATCTTAAAGTAATTCGGCATTTAAAAAGTAGCTTTGCTTTTATTGCTTAGTTAAAAGTATTCAAGTGCAATGAAGTGAATCCCAGAATTTCTGCATCGCTGTAATGCAAAAATTACTCAGAAATACCTCCTGTTAAGGATTTTAGAAATATTTGAGTCTATTTAGAATACTTTATGAAATTACTCACTCATCCGCGGTTATGATTATTAAGTATTATGCTTTGTAAGCAAGTATTGAAATATTTTAAGCGGTACGTTAGGTCATGCATGAGTATGGCTTTTACTGATAGAGAAATTATTGCTATCTCGGTGATTACCTGTACTCCTAATATCATATCATGTTTAAATGACATATCAGCTGTTATCATATCAATGGAATGAATAATTTTCATTCTAAGGTCACCCGGCGAAACTTTTGTCATTTATTTTAGCCTACTTTGTTTTTGCGAGAAAAATAACAATCAGCGATATCGCTTAGAGTAAAGAATTAATGAAGTACGATAAGGAAGAAACATGTCCTTTCATAAATAAATAACTCTCTAAGCTTGAACAATATTTATTATCGAGAATGTCACAAATAAGAAGGGCATTCATCCAAAGAACATGAGAAAGGAAGGTAAACGGTACTTAGTAATTTAATTGGTAGTTTAATCAATGTCACTGGTAAATCAAAAGATCTCAGTTCGATCCCAGTTAAGCAAATTCTTTGTAAAATGCAGAAAGCAGGGAGACATTAAATTATACCCATACAGAAGCTATATACTAATTGCTAATTGCAAATTTAATTGGGTTTCTCATTCAATTTCAGTAATGGTGGTTCAGTTTAACTTTCCTGTAGTATTATCACTTCATAACGGGGGTGCATCTGGAAGTCTATCAATGATCGATTCGATAAGATCATGCAGCACTAATAGTTTATCTCAGGCTCTGCTGCGGACAACTGAACGAGTTGACTACATGGAGCTTTCGCGATTTCCCATTAGTAACGCAAATATTAATATTTTCCTTTCTAAAGTCCTACACTAAGATATTCCTCTATAAATAATCCGCAGATGTTTTGTCATGACTAACTCAACCCATCTCTCGTTCATTAAAAGTAAATTTGCATACCAAGCATACCAAGTGTTCAACTGAGATTATTCATAAAATTTCTGTTCATGCGTTCTTAAAAGATATTGTCGCTAGCTTACATGCTAAGAAAATTTCATTCAGAAAAGATGTTTTATCGGAAACGGGATGCTGGGAAAACTCTCATTTCTCTAAAGTTTTATCTACACACCGTCGAAGAATAAGAATTAAAAAAAAATCAACATGGTTTGATTTAACTTTTTCTCAGGATATTCAAAAACTGTACGAGTGATAAATTCTCTTATCTGTTTAAAAGTTGCACAAAAAGTACTTTTCGGTATTTAAATTGCTTAGTTGGAAAAATACGGCATTCAGTGTCAGTTCTTCTGAGAGGCGACTTAATAGTTGAGCTCAGGTAAACAGCTTTAAGTAAATGTGCTTTATTAACATAGAAATATTTACATTGACATATTCCATCATACGTTTTGAGTGGAAGATAAATTCATCGAATACATAAAATGGTATCCAATTACTTGCAAGCAAATAATCAGCTCGCGTTTTCAACGAAAGGTTCTATGCAGCACTGGAAGGGATTATTTTCATTTTCCGGCGCATATCCTCTGCAGTTTGAAGAATTTTCGTTTGTAAGGCTTTTACTCAAATATATTATTCATATACAGGCGAAAATGAATTACATAGCTTATTCATCAACGAAGTACCATTGTTGCACGAACTGGGAATTGTGGATTGAAGTCATAATCGAGAATTAGTTCATTTTAGAATTACCGGATGTAATAATAAAAATTAACTTCAAAAGAGATATGTTGTGTAATAGCAGTTTAAAAAGAGGTACAAAATAATCTCTGCAAAAAGAAGGACAAAGAGAAATATTTTCCTAGTGGTGAGATATTGACGTTAGAAATATCTTTAGCAAAGCCTTTCAAAAACTTTTAAAACTTCATGTTACATTACATTACACTAGTAAAAATATCACCCACCCCCACTTTGGCAAATATTGCCAGAGCCTCCAACATATACCGTATTTACACGTGTATTTTCCTCCTTCGGATATGTTCTACCTAGCATTTTAGTTCAAGCTTCTAAAATGTTTTTCAATATTCACGTACATTTTCCTTTCCTCAAAGCGATCAGAAAGTGAGTTCCCCAACATTTTAAAATGGGTTTCTTTCGCGTTGTAATTGTTTTCATCTTCCTAATTGATTTGTTCATGGAATTTGAATGGGCTGTGACTGATGAAGCAGTTACAGTGAATAACTCCAAGAAAACGGGGATATCTAATGATCTTGATGGTTGTGATCCTTGCGTATAGGAAGACTGACCGAATGGTGAAGGAGACAATGATTTTTAAGACGTTGACAACGATTTTTAAGCTGCTTCGGACAACACAGACAGCATTTCCAGTAGCGCTGAATGATTATAACCTAGGGAGTAGCAATGAACAGCAATAAAAGTTGGCAAAAGATACAGAGAAATAAAAATGAAGATATTTTGTTAGAAGATATTGTAATATTAATATTGCTGTGTATTCTTTTTGGAATATAGATTTCTTTTAAATGAATAGTATTGTGATTGTTATTGCCTGTTTATCAGTGAATACTCTTCATTTTTTAAGTTCTTATTATAACAGCGTCCTTCGGAAATTAAATTACACGTTAAGTTTCCCTTCTTCATTTTCGTATGATACAATTAATAAGAAAGGGGAGAAATACGCTAGTAAATATGATGTCTTTCCCATGGCCTAGCACATTGCCAGCTTTCAGGGCACATTCAGCCATTCAGTAAACCATAAGCTATTAATTCGTATTACAGATTTGATCAATCGATACGTTTTTAAAAATAAATGAGGAAATTAAAATCAGTAATACAATATTTAATAAATAAAATCTTTATTTTATGCTCTTAATAAAGTATCTATCTAACTGGTATGAATTAAAATACGTTTAATTTACAATGTACCCAAGCCCACCAGCGGCCGAGCGGTAAAGTCGCTGAACACTGGTAGTTCGGTCCGAGGTTCGAATCCCGTGAACGGGCTGGCTGCATGGGCGTTTTCGTGGTTTTCCCCATGTGTAACGTGTATACGAGCCAGTTTCCCTTAGAAAGTCCTCCACGAAGGCATCCCTCCTCTTAGGCAGATAGCCCTCGAGGCTTTGCCATACTCACACACACACACACACACACACAATGTACCCAACTGATAGTTTTATACACATTCGAAACCTATTGTATTTAAGAGATATTTCTAACGCCATGTTATATGTACCTGAAGTAGAAGCATTTGATTTCTTTCATTGATAATAATTATAACTAATTAAATGCCGAATTTTTAATCCTACAAACAACAGTGAGTTTTAAACGTTACGATTTAAGAAAAAGGTTTGAAATATGGTGTCTTTAGTTAATCCAAATTAAACTTCAGTTCAAAACTTAAAATATATAAAATATAAATTATACGTGCATGCAACAGAAGTTCTGTTTAAAGCCAAAAGTCACAGATTTGACTTCCATTTCAAATTGGGACTGTTTGAGTTATAGATATTCGCTAAAAATTTCTTTGATACTTTACCATATTAAATAATCCCTGCTAAATTAAGCAGATAGAAATATACTTACAAGTTTCAACCCAGGTAAGCTTTTTTATGACACTGGCCTTCGTTTACAACTATTTGTCTAATATCCAAATACTGTGGTGCAGCCCCATGTGGCACTTCATATGTAAGGGACATCTGAAAGATTTGCATGATAAATTTCATTGAAAGTCAAATGTGCTTTAGCACAGTTTACATCAATAATTTTCATAAAATAATGGTACATTTATTCAGAAAAATTACATACAATCAAAATTCAGTTTAAATGCTTGAAATATTAGATTACGAAAACATTTATAGCATATGCAAAATAATTTCGTCTAGAGATCTTCAGAAAATTCATCAGTAACAGTTATTTGATATAGAAAATTAAACTGTGATAACAAACAAAGTGTGGTTAACTTTGGATTCTTCTTTACATTATAAACAGATAAATTAACGTTTCTAAGAACAAAGGAAATTGAAATAATACATGAAACTAGAAACTTCATTAAACCCGTATGAAGTATAACATTTATACAGAACGTCATGTTCACGTCATGTGCTTTAAGCTTGGTTGGAGACAGCCATCCTACTAATGAGTTCGGAAACTTATTCATGAAAAGAAGATAAAACAGATTTATTTGAAGAAATTTAGCTGTTAACACTATTTAGGACCCAACGATTTCAAATGCTTTAAAAATACAATTAATAGGAATTAACAGCAGATGAGGAGCAAAATGGTGACAATAATTTTCAACCTTCATATGTTCAGTTTTAAGGTACATCAAAATAAGTATTCACTTGAATTTCAGTCCGCTTCCTTTATTAACATTAAGAGAGAACTTTAACGTATTAAACAATTAATCACCTATAACATTAATATACTCCCAAATCAAATTTTTCATCCTTGAAAAGAAATTATTTAAAGCAGAGATTAGCTTGTAGAGACATTAGGTATTTTTTTTTTTTGGAAGCAGGAGAGATGAAAAATGAGCAACGCCTTCGCCCCGGTAATCGAAACACGGATCTCTGGAATACGCGCCCAGCGTGCAGACCACTAAACTACGAAGGCACGCTAAGAAGACGGGAGAAATACTTTATATACTCCCCCTTTTAAAGGGCGAATGGGGATTAGGGGACCCAATCGCCAAATCCTGGGGGTGGAGAATCATCATCCACCAGCCTTTTAGTTCGCGCGCCACTGTAGAGACATTAGGTTAATTGGAAGCAGGAGTGATGAAAAATGAGCGACGCCTTTGCCGAGAATCGAACCATGGCCTCTGGAATACGCGCCCATCGTGCAGACCACTACACTACGAAGGCCCGCTAAGAAGGCGGGAGAAATACCTTATAAGCTTAAAACAGCTCAGTTAGGAACAGAAAACAGCCTTCATATGCGGAGCTGGAAGTCTTGTGTTTAAATCGCATTCCAGAGCCATGTTTAGTATTTTTCAGCTTCATTTTCTGATACTTTATATATTCTAATATTGAATTAAATAAGGTTTTGAATTGATCTATCATTTATTTTCATTTAAAAGCCGGAGGATTTCCAAAATTTTTAATATTACAGCTGACATATTAACTGAAAATGGCCGAGAATAAATTTGACCACAAAGTGAATAATTGAAAATATATTAATAATTGAAATTATTGAATCAATATTTTATTTAATCTTAATCTTAACGGATCAATATTTTATTTAATCTTAATCTTAATGAATCAATATTTTATTTAATCTTAATCTTAATGAATCAATATTTTAATTAATCTTAATCTAATGAATCAATATTTTATTTAATGAATCAATATTTTAGTTAATCTTAATTTTAATGAATCAATATTTTATTTAATCAATAGTTTATTTAACTCCTCAATATCAGTATCTGATTCAGAAATTTCTATCAGTTCTCAGAAGTCTTTCTCTACGCAAGTTTAAGTGAATGACGGAATCTATATTTTTGTCATTAACATCATCGCATCTGCCTCGTATTTAATACAATTTTCAGTTTCGCCCTCGCATTACTAATTTAATTCTTTTTTAAAATTATAGGACGATAGTTTCTGGACAGTGTTTTGAATGAATGAACTTTCAACTTCAGCTCGTTCGATAGGTCTCGGTCTGTTAGATGACTAACTATTTGACTTTATGGCGATATGTAGCTGGATTTATAGGGCAATTTAAAAATTCCGTTGTACATGGGCTTTCAGTTTTGGCTGAAGTTTAGCGCGAAATCTTATCTTTCTTCTTATGTACGAACAGATTTATATTAGTAAAGACTACATAATTTACATTTCAGGACCTTTGTAAAAATGTATCATCATTCTGATATACAATGAAACCTTGGTTCACGAATTTAATTCGTTTCTGAAGATTGTTCGTCATCCGAAATATTCATAAACCGAAAAACGTTTTCCATACGAATTAGTATAAAATGAGTTAATCCGTTCCCGCACCCTATATGATTGCTTAGAAAAGTCTACTTTGTATATAAGTTCGCAATGCAAAACCGAAGGAATTCTTTAAGACTAACATACACAGTATTAATATATATGCAATATTCAACAGAATACTGAACATATAAATAATAGGAGAGCTTAAATTATCTCTACAAATATAGAGGCGTAAGTAGATCGTAATAAATTGCTTAATACTTGCGCAAAAGCTAATACTAAATAATAAAATAATAATTTATTTACTAATGGATTATTGAGTATATTATCTCCTTTGAGAAAGTTAGTAGAATTGTAGTTGAATGAAGTAACTTAGAAGCATTTCATAATGAATCTTCAAAATATTTTTGAAAAGGAACATCAAATATAAATCATGAACAATTTGAAATTGGAACTTTAAAAAATGAAAATTAATGAACAAACCAAGTAATTATCGTCATTGATCAGAAATTGGTTCACGTTCCAAGGGGAATAAACCAACCCCGATCAATTAATAATAATTAATAAATGCGAAGATATTTCATCTTCGCCATTTGCGTGCCGTTTTCACCAAAGGGGTCTAGGTATGAAAAAAAATCGTAACCCACTCTAAGATGATTACCCGCATTTCTCAGTTATCTTATTCATTTTGAAGTGGTCATTTCAGAGATCGGAAGGTCAGAAACAATGCTTATTTAATGTTGTCAGAAATACTGATGTCTTTCATGGTCGCTACGACGAGGCTTACTGCATTTTGAATACGAGTTCAACAATGCTTAATAATCCTGATAAATGTGCAAACATCAAGTAAGGAAGAAAAACCAAAGCAAATAATCAGTTAAAACTATTCCTGTCTCAAAAAGAACACAAGGTTAGCAAAATGGAATAATTCTCATTTTGTATATGGATAATCATTTTGAAACTGTATAACATTTGAGTTTGGAATGACGAGTGTACTGATTTATATTAATACAAATGATAGCATATGAGGTAGATTTAAATTTAGTGTTTATTTCTTATTTCTTTCGAAAATATAATATACAAAGCGTTTAGTAAATAGGCAGTTGAGACCACATACCTGTAATACTGACAGCTGACTAGCGCGTTATCATGAAGCGGCTTCACAACGTGGTTGTGCATGCTTCTTAATGATTTCATGTATGAGGATTCGCTCTTCTTATAGTTTCCCACTCCAAATATTAAACTAGGAATTACTGCATCGATGTATTTTAGTTCGAATTCTTTCACATACCTCAAGAACATTTTTACGAACACAATCTAGTGGGTATCACTAATAGTCAAATTAATTTCACATATAAAAATTACGAAAGAATCGCAAGAAACTACCTCTAGTTGTTAACATCATGTATAAAGCGGTACAAAAACTATTGAGAGGTATCTAGCCTTTCCTTAAGCAGAGGCTGCGCAACATGAGAGCATCGATTCGCGCGAAAATCCGATGTCTCTGGGATGATGCGCGTTGTCAAAAAAGGTGAAACGATGTTATTTTTAAACATTTTTTAATATTAAAAAAATTTACTTGAAAGTGTTAACTACCTAAAATACCACGAAGCTAGCCTGATTCTTTTATTCCACTGGCTACAGTCCATCCACACATTGTACATGCAAAGGAATACATTTAAATTTTTTAAGAGATGGATAAGATGAGACTCAGTATAACACTCCTCCCTCGTATTAATTTATTTCATTATAAATCGCTTTATTACTCACTGCACATACGCACGCCCATACATACATAAAAACAATTAAATCTATGTTATGCATTAAATGTATGTATTGCATACTGATTAAACAAATTTAAGCTATAAAAGTTAAAAACTTTGCACAATAAATAATTATAAAGCTTACCAAACTTGGGCCTCCCCACCACGAAACTGGCAATTCAATAGTTGTCCAATCTTTAGCATCCGATGTGACATTTAAATAGTAATAACCGTTTGATACTGTACTGTGGAATACAGCACTCAGTTTATTGTTTGATCGATCGGCAGCAATATGAGGACCTTTACGATATTCCATGTTGAAGCACATTAGCTTCGAGAAATCCGTTTCTCTTGTAAAATGTAAAGATGTTTTCTGTCCGCCTTCTAATACAATTGCAGCGTATGTTCCTAAAGGTATAAATGATTAATTAATGAAGATTATTTAAATATTTACAAGTATCATTTTTAACAAGAGGAAAAAATTTCTGAAAATAAACAAGAGAGAGAGCAGGAAACCATTTAGCTCTTGTAATGACGCCAGTTAGATACTTCACCCTCGCTCGACGTCTTAATTATTATTCAGACGTCAAGGGATGTTAAAATATGGTATTGCCATGTTATGTAATTTCGCTCGGCATCCGTAAGCATTGTTGAGTTTTTGAAGACAAATAAGTTTCATAACTTTGAAGTTCTGATGATGAGCTTTCGTCAAAGAAGAAAGATAGAATTTAGAGTACTACCGGTTGCCTAGTTATGAAGGCAGTTCATATGCCAAAAGAAAATTCTTTCATGGAGAATTTTCTAATAAACGGGAAACAGATTCTAAGAGGATAAAAAGATAAACAGTAATGAATGCTACATGTATTTTTTTAACATTAGATTTGTCTCGAGTTATCAAGCATACTACGAAACAGAAAGACATGTATTACATAGAGCGTTTCACTAGTAAGAGATCTGAAGTTATCGTTCATTATATATCTAACTATCTAGGCAGATATAATGGAGGAATTACATGTTTTGACAGAATTTACTTCAACATACAATGGAAATGATAGCCTCTTTTCTCGAAGACGCTTGGGCATCCGATGCTGCATGTTTGCGAATATCTCGATCAGCTAAGACTGGCTGATGTCATCAACTGCGGTTGCGATTTTTTCATCAGCTGTGCGTGATTGCAGAGGCTAGGCGACTCTGCTCATAGTCCTTCGAAGATACTGGTTACAACTGCCATATGAGTTTGGAAATCTGAGAAGTCATCTCATCATTACAGAAGTAACTAACTGTAATGTAAATGCTGCCCAAACGATTTATTTGTTAATAATGTTGCAGTACACGTGCATATTTCTCATATTTTCAGTAATTCCAGACTTTATGGTGCTTCCAAAAGGTACACTGCAGCTGCAAACATCTTCTTGAAAGTTTTGCAGCATATGTAGATTTCTGTACTACCTACTTCTGCCTATCGAACATGTAAATTACAAAAGTCCTTGCAACTAAACCACGCAATGTATTAGAAAGCTGACAGGAAAACTTAGGCTGCAATTGATAACGTTGGCCATACGCAGTTCAGTGAAACATTTCCAAACATGGAACTCCAGTTTATCTGGTGTGCGCAGGAAAAAGGTAATCTCTTCCATATTTGTGATATAATATTTTGGATATCTCTAAAAATACGTATTAGAAAACTGCATTGCCTGCCATATATATTATATTTGTAGCAACGATAACTTAGATTACTACAGATGAAACTGTGTTATCAGTCACTCCTTCTTTCAGGTGAATCTACAATGTATGCATTCTAATTCTTGTTTATACCAAGAATTCGCAATGAACTGATACTAATACATTAGTAAAGAGGTTAATTATTGACATAAAATACTAATCCTTAGAAAAATAATTCATTATAATACATTGTAATCAATTTAGACATAATAGAATTTAAATAAAGAAAAGCTTCAAACGTAAAAACTGCAGGCTGTGCAGAAGTACAGATTAGCTATTAAAATCAATGATGACTGAAAGAAAGAATCACACAAGGGGTCAAATGCAGACCTCTTTTCAAATTCCGTGGGATCTAACCCTATTGAGAGAGGAGAAAGACTGTGTATTATCCTGTGTCATTTTACTATATGTTTGAAAAGAACTGAATAATATGTAATTATTAATAATTCTGTAATAATACTCAATAATTATTTACTATTATTTTAGGTTAAGGATTTCGACGTTATCCTCATGTGAACTTGTAGTCAGCAAGCACATCGAGTCAGTTTGTTGAAAATCGTGGTTCGCCTCCAAGTAAAGGAACAGTTTATTTTCAAAGACTCCTTGCTCCTAATTTATTCTCGTCTCTGGACTCAAGAATCAAAACCGTAGAAAATAGTTTCTCGACAGACTTTTTGATGATTTTCCCTATTTCAGCCAACATTTTATGAGATTTAGAACATTGAATTTCTCTTTAAAATTCGAGCATTGGCTAAAAACTAATTTTTATGCAAACCGTTTTCTTTGAGGGGAGATAAAATTAAACATCACTTCATACTTGTGCTTAAGTACAGAATGAATGAGAAGCATAGAATTCAAGAATGGGAGGAATTCTTCACATTCTGAAATTTCGGGAAAGTAATTAAAATTTTGAAACTTGAAATTATGACTATCAGAAATCTGAAATATTCCAAAAGCTACAAGCTACATGTATTTTTGTGGTTATTTAAACGTTTTCCCCAAAGAATTCCTTCTAAATGGTTCTTTGGTGAATAAATGATTTCTTGATATGTCTTTTCATTTCTTTTTTTGATAACAAGCCCCATTAGGCGAATACAATATCAAAGTTAATACGCAAATCTAAAACAAATATAAAATATCGATGTGAGTGCACTTTCATCTTTATTACGTCAAGAATATCTTATTTTAGACAGTAATTTTTACATTGCCTTTGACCTAGTGCTTTGCGAATGCTTGAAAAATTATATATGTCTCGCAAGGCACTTTGCTGCTTAAAAATTCTTATCCATTTGTGCTCAATTTACGGCCACATTAAAATGACGTTGAAAATATGCAAGCATACGTTTACAGGAGATTTGCATGAAAACTCATGAAATAAGTTCAAACGTATTGGTCAGTTATGAACAAAAATATTAGCGACTTAGTAGTATTTTTTTACCAGAATCATTGTTTATTTAGCTCTATCTTGAAAATACCATTATCTTTTGCTACTAACTGCTTTTAATTAAACATATTAAAGTATATTTTGATCATTTACTACTTATTGTTACGCCTTTTTTGCAAGCTTCTAGTTGCCTCTTTTTTTCGCTGTTAGTGTACCTAGCTCTAATTTTTATTCTTTTCGCAATGTAACCATAGAATGCATGTCACGTATATGACATGTGGGAAAAGCCTTAATGCGTATCTTTTATGTGCGTGAGAAGATTTCCTTAGATAGTATTAATTTATTGGCTTAATGCAGTTTTACCAAGGTGAGCAACAAAACATTTAACTCTTCAGAAGTCATCTTAAAAATATATATAATGCTTTTGGTATAACTGGCACGAAAATGCCTCAAAGCGGTGTTTACATAACTGCATTATGACACTCAGTATGCTCAGTTAGTCAAAGGAAATTTTGCTTTGAGTTTCATTTCCGTTTAAAACATGTATTCACTCGTTTATCGTTTAAAGTAAAACATCATAACATGCATGGGTATTTTAAAATTCAGTTACATCTTCCCTAAGTTTACTGAAAATGTGTTATTTGTTTTAGCTATTAGACTTAAATTGAATTCATTTTTTTTTCTTTAGCAATCAGACCTAATTCTAATTTGAAGCATAGGAAGGTAGTTTGGATCGAAAGGGTGGGAAGCTACGTTGAAGGAAATGTCAATCTAAAATGTAATCTTATTAATAAAGTCTGTCACTAATTAACACGATTCTATTTTAAGGCAATCATTTGCAGCGGATTTAAGATAGACTTTCAACAGTCGAACACTTTATTCCATCTTAAATGCTTTTATTTGTTATAATAACGCTAAGTCTACGTTATTTAATAAAATGTCTCACCTGTAGCAACTTTTCTTGTTTTCCATTGCCTTGCACCTTCAATAACAAATTCGCACCATTCTCTGCTTGGATGACCTTCTCTGAAATTGCACCACAAGTAGACATTTCCTCGAGGAAATTCCGGCTGAGGTCCAAAAGAGTTAATTGTCTCTGGAATAATACATTTATTAAATACAGCATATTTTGGTTAATTTTAGTACCATTTGAATGCTATATAATGAATCTGCGTCATGTGTACATCATTGCAACAACAGCTTACATAATTTGACAAATTTATAAATTTAGACATTCTAAAATAAAATACATGTAACAACCATTATATATTTTCAAAGGGAAAAAAGGATAATAATACAACTTTATACTCATATGAAGTATTTTATATGCATGAGATAAAAATACAGCTTCGTATGTATATATATCTATTTTACGATCCCTCGTATTAACATTGCTTTTTATAATTTACAAGGCATACCTGTAGTACATATTGAATATGTAGTTGAGGTTGTGTACATAATGTACATATATATCGAGAGAATTTTTTTAAAAGAATTTTTTTCAAACGATTTGAAACTTCATTCTTTTTAAAGAAACTGCTTCGCCCTCGCCATTTTTCTTCAGTGAATTTTCGGATGTTGGTAATAATTCTGTATTAAAATTCTTTGTTTATTCTAAGCAACCTTCTGAATTTGATTACGTTAAGTCTAGGGGGGTTTACCTTTATTTATTATTTTTTTAATTCTTCGTAACTCCCGAGAGCTTCTTTTGCATCTTTATAAGCTTTTAATATAAATTCGAGCAACGTCAGCAGCTTTTTGTTTCAAAGTTTATTTTTTTTAAATTCAGATTATAGTTAATTTAACACGCATTCGAACCTCCCCTTTTTTAGGTTTTAAATACTGACCATTTAAATTTGTTGCTTTGTTCAAGGTTCATATATACATACATACATATATATACATATATTTTTTAAAAGAATTTTTTCTATATGATTGTAATTAGTTCGTTTGGGCTTTTTGCACATATTAGTTTTTCAGGGTACTTCCTAAAATATTTTTAAGCGGTTTTTACTTGAATTTTGTTTTGTATTTTTAAATATTTTTTGTGTTTTCTCTTAAGTATTGTAATTTTGCTGTCTTAAGTAAGTATTATAATTTTGCCGTCTTAAGTAAGTATTGTAATTTTGCTGTCTTAAGTAAGTATTGTAATTTTGCTGTCTTAATTTTTCTGTCTTTCCCTACTTGCGAATGCAAGTAGAGAAAAGGTCTGGGCATTTAAGAGCCATTGAAAGCTATTTTAAATAGAAAATTTATTTCAAAAATTACGGTCCTGAATCTCAAATGTCTCAGAGGAACGAAACTTGTATTCGGAACTCATTGATGAATTTGGTTTTGGGCTTCAAAACAATTTTCCCTTGATAAGTTCTGTTTGAAACGTTGAACTGAGAAGATCAATATTTCATTTTTGTTTCTTATTTCATTATGTAATGCTTTCAGTACTATTTCAGTATTTGTAAATTTTATTTGTACTACCTTTGGGTACGATTTTCTTCGAGATACAAAATGGTTAGAACCTTCATAGGAAAGAAATTGTAAACTTGCATTTAAGCTCCAACTATTTCCTTTTCTTTTAATTAATATATATATATATATACGCTTTTGGACATGCTTTTGAAGCGTATATTTATATACGCTTCAAAAGCATGTTTTATCTTTGATTAATTCATATCAAACGGTAATATATTTTGCCTATTTCCAAATAGTTTTCTGCCCCGATAATTTCACATAGAAAGTTTAGACGATTACTGAAAATAAGTGGGATAGAAGTTAAATACTTAATTGAATTTATGCTCTTAAAATGAACTTCAAATTGGATTCAATAGACTAATGCAGTGATTCCTATTGATGGCACATTTAACTGAATGCCTGAAATCGTGCGAAACACCGATCTAGAATTTTAATTACTTTTATTTACATTAGCACCGATAATTTGATTTTGATGTCTATACATGATATTTTCCCCACAGTCTGCAATGACGTGGTCATAGCTTTGACAGACCCACGTGCATGCAAATCATTATAATGATGCAAAACTCTGGTTCTCTGTTTTGATTTCAACAGTAAGAATAGTTCAAATTTTACTGTTTTCATTATAGAAATTTCTGAACCTAATGTTTAAACTTGGGAAACAAAAGTACGATTTTCAACCTAGTAAATAATTTTGAGGAGAAACCCCTTGTAGGTTTTAAAGACGTAACAGTTTGGAATACTGGACTAAGGCATAAATTCTGAATATTGAATTAAGTATTTTGGATATGATGTGTTCTTTATTGTTTAAAATTTTGCCTTGCACTACTTTAAAATTACTGTGACTGCTTTAAGAATAAAATGTTGAATACTGTAACTTGGATAGAGTAATAGCTTTATTAAACTATAATGACTATAAGGCAAAATTAACGCTTCGTGAAAAGGCCAGAAACTGTTCTGGAACATACGAGAGTTAAGTAATGTTAAAAACCATAACAGAAATGAAAACATTAATATTTTTGTTAGTTTAAAAGTAAATAATCAGCATAATATGCTGTCACAGATTATTGAATATCCCATTAAAATTTTATATGCATGTGAAGAGATAAGCAATAGAAACTTATCAGAATTTCTTTGTATCTTTGAAGCTTAAAGATAAAAATGCAAGAATATATCTTTGGCCGTAACCTTTCTCCTTCTGAAGTTTTTTTATTTGTACTGCAATTAACTACACAACGTTAATGCCATAAAAATACTAACTTTGTAATATTTCCCAGTATCTGGTAATAGTTAAATAGTCCCAAAACTCTAACAGATGTAAAGCGAATTATCGCTATGCCTGAAGTAACTACACAGACTTGAAAAGGATTAAATAAAACTTTTTATTTAACAGAACTTAGAACATGAATGCACTTTCTTTGCTAGCAGAATCAATCAAAATTTGTGGCGATGCACAACTAAATTAATAGTCAGTTTTAAATTTAAAATGTATACTAGTAACCGAAAACTACACAATTAAATTTTAAAGAGATCTGGCTCAGAAAACTCTAACCAGCGCATCAAGTTCAAATATCGGCAACAATAATTGCAAAGCTGAATAATTACAAACTTATCAGAGCTGACAGGAAATACGTAACGCGCCCTGGAGAAACAGAAACATGCTCTGTCTAACAATCCCAAAACTTCAGCTTCTACCCTAACCTCATTTACATTATGATGAGGAAACGGAATATCTTCCCAGAAAATGTGTCATATGTGAAGTGAGAACCTTAAAAACATTATTTCGGAATTATTTTTTAAATTTAAAAGTGAACAAGAGAGAAGTTATTTTCTTGTCCAGACTGGCATAAAATTTTTTCTTGTTTGCATAACAACACATTTTACATTTAATGTTTCTCTAGAAGATCTTATCCTGAAAAATAAGTGAAATCCACGAAAGAAGTATGCTTTCTGATTAAATAAACACTATATGCAGTCTCTGCCAAAGTTTGATATCTTCATGATTTCGGAAGTTGTGATCCTGTGCTTATCATGTAAAGTAGGTCAGTGCGATAAAGGACTAAATGTCTGGATTTAGCTGGTAGCGGAATTTATTAACTGAAATCTCGATTAATTTCAGAAAATTAACTTTCATTTTGAATGCAAATTTTATTTTAATCGACAGACTTCGTGAACAAAATGTAAATTTAGTGAAAAGGAATTTAAAAATCTGAAACAACGAATTTTGATTTTGCATTCCTCAGGAACATACATCACAGAAAGCATACAGCATATTAGAATAAAAACTTCTGGAAATTTAACAGTAATTTTTTTTATCTAGCCAAAACGTCGAAAGCAAAATTATTACTACGAAATGGTAAAGCTTTAATCCTGTTCAGGTGAATAAAATTTTACAGGACTTATACCAGGGAAGTTAAAATATACTGCCATCAAAATTCAATTTAAAATCGTGATTATAGTTTAAAATTCTATTGTATGAAAATAAAGTGCGTAAACTAACACATGTGAAAACATGTGTGAATACTATATCTTTCATTCGACCGCAAATATATATTTTATACAAAAAAACCGAGATTTAGGGCTTTGGAAGTTAGGAGGTCGTTGGTTTTTATATAGGAAAATGTGATATCAAATAATTATGCCGATTAAAATGAGATTTTCAGTTGCTGAAAAAAGAGTGTCAGGAAATAAATTATGTAAAATAATTAATTATACGGTGAAGGGATCTCACTATTTTATATTATTATGGAAGTTACAATTTATGACATAACATGTTACATCACCATAATTTTTTCCCATGCCAAAAAAAAGTGCATTTGTAATTATTACCGTCATTAACATAATTATTTGAATTGAAATTCTCTGGCTCCGTGTAGATAGGTAGGTGACTTATAGTCTCATCTTAATTATTCAATATACACCAAATCAGCAGAAGACTCACAACAAACCTTTTTATTAGATCTTCAGCTTGACAACTACACAAATCATGTAATAACAGATGGGTCACCGATACTTGCGGGATTTAAGAGCCGCTTATACTAAAGTTTATCTGACCTAACGAAGTCGGCTTCATGTGTAAACTAGCTTTCCGCTATACGTAAAGTTCAGATTTTTCAGGTGAAAGAAAACTGGTTTTCTCAACACCTAAATAAACCAGATAAAACCTAATGTGATAACCAGATAAAACCAACACCAGGTAAAACCTAATGTGAATAGAAACACAAAGGTTTACCTGAAACTTAAGTACTTAAATATTATATTCACAAGGCAAAGCCTTTTTGTAAGTTTTTACTCAGGCACTTGATCCACGCTGACAGATACGCCTAGCAAAGACTTAAGCCGATTCAAATTAGTTTAAAAGTTGGGCGAAAATAGTGATGGGATGCCCAGCGGTCGCTTCCAAAAGCTCTACTTTAACTTAAAAGACTTTACTGTTATGCATATCAAACTAATTTGAATTCTGGTTGAAGCAGCAGTGATAGTACTAGCAAAATGACAAGTTTAATAACCATAAATTCTACAAACTGCTGCAGAGAATATTGTTGATTTACAACGTTTCATGATATATTAAACTGCACTTATTATTATTTTTCAAACTGTAAGTCTTCTTAAGAGATCAATAACAATATTATTTTTAAAATAATTTATCTATGCTGCAGCGTTTCGCATTGTTTGTTTGATTTTCTCGTTAATCTCGTTAGCACTTTTCTTATTTCTTTCCACTTATTTTACAGTTATGGAAAAGAGTATTTACTTATATCAATAGTTCTTTGACATTTTTCTCTCTTCCTCTTTTTTTACTACTAGGATACATATAATTCCTATTTCAATATCATTTTCAAAACTTTATTAAGATTTCCTCAGTAGGGAATTAAAAAAATGTAAATATGAATACATTCAACATTAGGTCTCAATAGCATGTTACAAACTTGTAGAAGTTTGTAACATGCTATTTTTTTGTATAAAATATATATTTGCGGTCGAATGAAAGATATAGTATTCACACATGTTTTCACATGTGTTAGTTTACGCACTTTATTTTCATACAATAGAATTTTAAACTATAATCACGATTTTAAATTGAATTTTGATGGCAGTATATTTTAACTTCCCTGGTATAAGTCCTGTAAAATTTTATTCACCTGAACAGGATTAAAGCTTTACCATTTCGTAGTATAATTTTTGCTTTCGAACGTTTTGGCTAGATAAAAAAAATTACTGTTAATTTCCAGAAGTTTTTATTCTAATATGCTGTATGCTTTCTGTGATGTATGTTCCTGAGGAATGCAAAATCAAAATTCGTTGTTTCGATTTTTAAATTCCTTTTCACTAAATTTACATTTTGTTCACGAAGTCTGTCGATTAAAATAAAATTTTGCATTCAAAATGAAAGTTATTTTTCTGAAATTAATCGAGATTTCAGTTAATAAATTCCGCTACCAGCTAAATCCAGACATTTAGTCCTTTATCGCACTGACCTACTTTACATGATAAGCACAGGATCACAACTTCCGAAATCATGAAGATATCAAACTTTGGCAGAGACTGCATATAGTGTTTATTTAATCAGAAAGCATACTTCTTTCGTGGATTTTCACTTATTTTTCAGGATAAGATCTTCTAGAGAAACATTAAATGTAAAATGTGTTGTTATGCAAACAAGAAAAAATTTTATGCCAGTCTGGACAAGAAAATAACTTCTCTCTTGTTCACTTTTAAATTTAAAAAATAATTCCGAAATAATGTTTTTAAGGTTCTCACTTCACATGTGACACATTTTCTGGGAAGATATTCCGTTTCCTCATCATAATGTAAATGAGGTTAGGGTAGAAGCTGAAGTTTTGGGATTGTTAGACAGAGCATGTTTCTGTTTCTCCAGGGCGCGTTACGTATTTCCTGTCAGCTCTGATAAGTTTGTAATGTCTGATGTCTGATGCTCTGATGTCTCAATAGCATGTTACAAACTTGTAGAAGAGGACAGGTGCATCCAGACGTCTCAGAATTACATAAAAATGAAAGTTGGGAAATGCTTTACTGACGCAGTAGATGGCATTGTGTCGAGCGCTCTTGCATAAAAGCTTCCACACACGGTCTCGGGCGAGCCGCACTGCGATATGTGTTTAGTTATCTTATGAGAAGGATTAGTTGAAACGGGGTTGTTCTAAATAGCTGGCATACGTTGGGAACGATTGGCACGGACTTCGGACATCGAGCAGACTATTGTATGATGCACAGGGCACTTCAAATTCGAGTATGTAAGCCAGAACGCACGAAGTCGGGATTTCTTGCTGCAGAATCTGGAGGATTCTTAGAGGAAACGAAATGCATGCGTGTTACGTGCAGCGCGTCCAGACATTTTAACCGGGTGATTATGCAGCTCTGAGTGCTTTTGCAGACTTTTATCTATAACAGTGCGCTACAGGTTCTCATTTTGCCTGTTTCTATGTTGTTGAGAGATAAGTAGATAAGTCGTACTTCACAAGGGAAGGAATCTTCGATTCACATAATGGCAAAGTGTGGGCGGTGGCGAACACCCTTGATATTACTGGATTGATATAACTATTGATATTACTGGATTGATTATCCTTGATATTACTACATGTTGCCACAAATTTTGGATGACTAACAGTTTTTGACATCGATGCGATTTTCATTGCGCTTCCAGCACGATACAGTCCCGCCCATTTTAAGCGTAATATTCGTAACCATCTAGCCATGAAATCTTGCACAACAGTGGATCGTAAGTAGTGGGGCAATGCATTGGTCTGCTGGATTTTTGGACTTATCATGCCTTGATTACCTCTTCTTGGGGTACATAAAAACACTGGTATATGGCATTTCCGTTGACATCGCCGAGGAAATGGCTATGCATTTCGCATTAGCTACCGGGGAAATCCGAAATAAGCCAAAATTTTCCAGAATATTCCGAATTTCATGTGTCTTAGATCTGAGATCTGCAGTAAAATCATGGAGTATAATTCGACATCCTCCTCTGATCTCTGTTACTTTTGTGAATATACATTTATTACTATTAAAATGAATATTCACTTAAGTAGCGTCCTTTCCATTTTTAACATTTTCTGCATATACACTATCCATACACAGGCATATTTTTCATTTCCGACCCTACGTTTGAGTGCAATTCCAAATCATCTGGTTGCAGCTCTATATAAACTAACCCTATAACTATTCCTTTAACTACTACCCTATAAGTCTGCGACCCTGATACTGAAAGACTCTATTTACAAACAGTTTATATTTTAATGTAGTCAATATATTAGTTTTAAATGTTTAGATCAAAGTTTGAAACAATGTTATCTGGCGCTTTGTAACAGATTTTTATCAGAAGACGATTTTTGTAATACAGAAGGTTGCAATAGGTCAAAAATAAAATGCAGAAATAGACATGGCATTGATCAAAGCATAAGAGGTTTCAAGCTTTCGGAGGTGTCAAGCTGTCCTCAAGGAAGAAAAAGGCTGTGTCACTCGATAAAAGGTAATTGCATCTATTAACTCATATTCCAATTAATGACGCACATATTTCTGTACTAGAGTTGTAGATTAGTAGCTTCTGTTGATAAAGAAATTTTATATGTTTTTACTACCCAAATTATATGATATGTTATCATTATACATTTATCTATTATTTTCCTTATTTTTTATCTTCGCTGATGAAGAAAAATTACTATTCATCAATAAATGTTTTAAGAAACAGAAACAGAAAATTTACTTACTACAAAGTCCAGGATAATCAGCTCGGATACCTAGACGCTCACACTGTTTGCCACAACAAGTATTTTCAGGGCATTGACTACAAGCTGGTCCAATTCTGTACATATCTTGCATGTATAAATTTCCCCTAAAATAATTTCAGGTTAATTAGTTATTATAATCGTTACACAGTGAAATACAAGAGATTTGATAAATTTTATGAGCACTGAAAACTGAACAATTTTTGTGGTATGATTTGAAATTAACATATAAAAATAACATGCGTAACTATAAACTGAAGAAAAAGACGAATAACCTGAAATGAAAGTTCTAAAAATAGTCTTTTGAAATAAAAAGCACATTAATATGTGATCAGAAGGAAAATACTCACTTATTAACGTTGAAAGTAGCTAATATTTGCTATATTTTTACTTTCAGAACCAAATGGATTCGCATGTATTAATAATGCTCTAATTTGACTCCTCAGTGATTAAATATTCTTAATGATTCAAATTGCACTTTGTTCATCTTCTAGAAAACACTAAAAGTCTCACACGAGGAATATACTTATATTTTTTTCTCATTTTAAAGAGCTTGTTGATTGCCCCCTTTTTGATATGTTGAACTTACACATTAGCATATACCGTTTAAAAATCATTGTTGGAAGCGAATTAAAATACATTTTCGCTGATAATTTATAAGCTTATTATAGTTACAAATTTACGCTAATTATAAAATATAAATTTTTGCACAGTAGTGACTGCCACATGCAATGTAAAATGTAATTTTCAATTATTACGTTGTTTTGGTAACAAAAAAGTAACCATAAAGTGAAGATAATAATTCGTAACAGTAAAGTGAATCCCTCATTGCGTTGCTTGATACATTTCGCTTTAGAATTAACTTTTTGTTAAATTTTCAAAAATATCCCTGCAAATTTTTATGAATTGCCTAATTAGCATTCATATATATCTTCCATTTGCAGAAACAATCTGAAATTCCTTCTTTTAAATATGTTATTTAATTTTTACATATTAATTATATGTATAATATATTAATTACTCGTAGAATATTTTAGGTGTTTAAAATAGAAAAAAAATGTAAACTTTTATGTTAGATATAAAACTTAAAATTAATTATTAAATAACTTTGTAAAGGAAATTATGTGAAACAGTTCCATATTCTTGAGATGCTAGGCAAACGGAAGCTACAAGATTAGCTTTCTTGGTTTTCCCCGTGAGTAACGTGAATACGCGCCTGTTTCTCTTAAAGAGGCGTTCATATCCTCAGGTATACCCTAATGTTCTTTGTCGTATTTAAACTAACCTAACTCAACAAAATTCTTACGAAACGTAAGTAATTTTATCAGATTTTGATGAAATAATAACTACTTTCGATATTATCATTTATAGTACATATGGCATACCAAACTTTTCATATAATGTCTTAGCTCTACTAATTAAGAAATATCGCATTTATAAAAAATTATTAGTTCGCCATTTTGAAAGTGAAGATGTTCCATAAATCTGTACGAAATTTGTCTTTGACATTTGTGTTTTATTCGAATTCACATATTCTTTTAACTTCATCCTTATATATTTTAAACGCATTGTTCATTTAAATAAAAAATAAAGTTCACTTTTGTATTCAGACTGTAAGGTGGATTTTAATTTTATAACAGTTATTTTTAATTTTGAAACCTTTCCCTTTAAATTCTTGTTTTCCACTTACAACTTCCTACCAGAATAAGTTTTTAGAATCGCGCTGAATGTAAATAAGGTAGAAGCTTACTTTAGTAGGAGAGCTTAAGGAGTCCTTAATGGCGCATGTTTGCCGTCAGGCTGCTTCGTTATCGAACCTACTACGCTCGGTCGTATTGTAAATGCCTGTTTATAATCGCCGGCTAAGTTAAATTAAGGGCCAACTAGTTAGGTATTTGTGTCTGGCCTCATCTACGTCAGTTTAGTTGGTTTCTTATTTTTCTTGATTTGAAGCCCGAGTGGAGGTTTCACTGTACTTCCGAGAAGGGGTCATCTGTTATTATTTCTTTGATTGAATAAAAGGGTATTTTAACACTTCTCTGGACTTTGCCATTACACAGAACTCAGCGATAAGTCCCTACACAGTTCAATTGGTTCCTTTACATTCAGCACAGACCAGATAGTTAGGAACATTATTATATTACTATTATTATTATAGCATTATAAGTTTCTATTGTGCAAGGAAGTCTGTCATTAGTTGCTCCAGTTTTATGCAAGCCATTATTTTATAACTAAGAAAACTGAATTTAACAGAACGGAGAATTCAGTGAATACACAAAATGAATTACTTATTCAGTTTTTCCATTTTAATAGCAAGGAAGTATTAAAAGACTATACTTTGAAATGATAAAGAAATATTAAAAAATTAACAACTGAATTAAGATACCCAACAAAAAGCTTTGATTATTTACTAAAAAAGAAGCAAGAGATGACATAATGCTGTTGAGAAAACGTTGCAAGGCTTTAGCAGGGCAGTACGCATGTGATAGCGATATCTTCAACGTTAGTAATCCACATACGCGACTATTTTCGAAAGAGAAAAAGGGGTAAAGAACATTTTTTATCCAACATAATTACATTAAAAAACAGGTTGTAGAGTTCCCCACTTTGTAAATGCTAAGTTATAGTTGAACGTGAAGAATCTTAAGAACTGATAAGCGAATGAGTTCGTGTGACAAGAAACAAGATGGAAGGGTAAATAGCCCTTTATTATTCAGATAAGATTTAACAGAACTCCGTCTTGGAGTGTACAATAAAAGGTGACACTTGGGCTTGAACTTAAAAGGCTAAGAAGGAAATTAAAACTAATCTAAACTAAAGAGATATAGTCGAAGCTATATCTCTTTATAGCTTTGAATCTCTCTCTCTCTCTCTATATATATCTTTTTTATAGGTTCTATATATATCTTTATGTATATATTAGAATCTTCTCTCTCTCTATATATATATATATGTTTTATATATATCTATCTATATATATAGGATTTATACATACATATATATATATATATATATATAGTGTTGCTGCTGCGATCATCTAGCCGGCTGTCTGTCCTATCACAATGTAGTTGGATGACTGCCTTAGGATTATTTGATAATAGAAGATTTCGTTGCATTTTTTGCATTTTTAAAAATAGAGGGAAATTTAAAATCGCGAATTATAAAGCTAAAACATGAAAAATGTGTTAAAAGTAATACAGTAAAATTATGAAATCTCATTAGGTATTAATATCCTTGTATGTAACATCATAATGCAAAAAGATGAAAATACCCAAAAGTTTTACAGATTTCTAAAAGTAACTATGTTTCCTTCGCTTTTAAAACGTCTTTCTGTAAGAAGCGTAAGTGATGCAGAGAAATTTATCTTTAAAAATTGGCGATGATAGTACTTGCTTTTGTCGACGAAAAGATAAATCTTATCTTTTTTTTCTGAAATTTGTAAATTATTATTCATTAAAAAAATTTTAAAAATGTGTTAAAGACTTCGGCTTGTCATGAAAAAGCGTTTAAATGGCGAAGATAAACGAGGCGAACAACTTGTCAAGCGTCTTTCCATTACTTTTTACTGAAGGGAAACGTTCTGTAACTCTTCAGCCTATTACTTGAACTTTATAGTCAGTAAAATGTTATTTGCGATAAAATATAATACCAGTTAAGGAAACGAATAAATATTGAAAAGATTACGAACTTATTTAAGTTGCTGAAAGAAGTGCATTTGTATTAAACTTGGAAATATAAAGTATTATGTTATATTTGTGTCTGTACTGCAGTAATTTTTTTATTCTTCTATATTTAAAGAAAGGATAACTAAATCTGTGTGTTACATTCTCAGATAATTGAAAAATCAGTAATAAACTGTACAATCATCATGCAAACTGAATCTAAAAGAATATGCAATAGTCCATTCTTTTAGTTCTTTTAAAAGTAAAAATCGAAAGATACATAATAATATTATTCGTAGTCGCGGTATACTAGATATGATATCCGAAGAATATTAATTTATTAGTAAGTCTTTGCACACCGCGTATGATACTTTTGTTCCATAACTTTTTTGAATGTTTAGTTTCTGTTTCAATAAATTATTTCTGATACCCATCGATTTCCATTCACTTGTAGTTTACTCTGAAAACAGTGCCGTAATGCAAGTAACTTTTGCAATAAAGTATAATTTATCATCACACTTGAAAGAGAATCATAATGCATTTCAGCAGCTTTCTTTTGAATTTCAGATGGTTTGTTATTCTGTGGAGTGTGACAGCTTTTAATCACCGCATTAGTATTGCTGTCCCCCTTCCACATGCACACAAGAGAAATCTTTCGTGATCTGCTCTGGTCATATATTCAAGAATTATATTCAAACATAATTCGTAATTATATTAAAACATAATTGAGAGATATTTTTCCAAACATATGACGTTTCAAGTAGTTTGAACATACAAAATTTCTAGTTTCATAGTTACTAAAAATTAAAATATTGACATAGCCATAAAGAAACAAAATACATGCGTAACATTGGCTAGATACAATGTTCTTTCTGGAGCCCTCACTGTTCACTCTTCTTATTTTCATTAATGAAAGCAATTTTATGAGGAGATAAAGGGCAACTGGGGGGGGGCTTTTAAAGCATCAAGCTCAAAGTCTGTGGTCCTTGTGAGCCCAGATAGTGGCCAAGGTAGTGCAACTGAAGGTAAAATGATGTATTGAAACATAATGAGATAGCTTTAATAATGTGTTCAAAATTTACTTTGTGAAAATTGAAATAAAATGTATAATAAAATAATTTTATTGCAATTAAGCAACAGGTTAAGTACAGTATGATGTTAGTGTCAAATGTAAGATATCCTACTCTTGATAGGGGGAAATCGTAATAATCTGAATGCAAAATTAACGAAATGTCTTTTTTTGTCAAAAAAAATATATATATTTTCTATTAAAACACATTTTATTTCAAGAAATATGTAAGCTAAGACTGCCACACAGCGCATCTAGGAGATTTACGCAATTTAAAATAGGCTTTTCTCCACAATGCGCAGCGAATACAGAAAGGGAAGAAAGCATGAAGAAACTTTTCGAGATATCTGAAGATCTTAATTATCCCTTACTTCCTGTAACACGCAGGACTGAATTCTAATTTTATTTATTTTTGCGAGAATGTAAAACTTCTAAGGAACTTAAATAGCAAACACGTTTAATTTCAGCAAGCTTCGTTAAGCTATAAAACTGAAAAAAGAGAAAACAGAAGTGCGTAACAAATATTTCTATGCCAGATACAGAAGTATATGCTTAATGTAATAAATGATTTATTTCAAATATTTCTAAAGTCATTGTCTTTAAAAGTGATCAATTATAGCAAAGGTTGATTAAAGCAAAAGAAACTTAAAGAGGAAAAAAGAAGGATGATGAGTGATGCAGGTTTTTATATACTTACGTTGGTCCATAGTTACATGTGTACAATTCGACGTATTGAAATCTTGGATCATTCGAATAACTATGAACGGTATAACCGCAGCCTACTTTCCAAGATGATGCCCATAGAGCCTGAAATAAACATTGCTGAGAATTGAAATTACTTGAAGAGGAAAATGTAATTTAATTACTTAACAATTATATTATGAATTTTCTTTAAATAATTTTACAGCGATTTTAGTTTTAACATGAGTAATTTACAATTACTCATGTTAAAACTAAAATTCTAAATACACTGATAGAAAATGAAATCTCATCACAAAGAAAGAGTCGTGCTAAATAAAAGATATTTGGAAGGCGTGTTAACACATACGAAAGATGAAGTATATTCAAATTTCTCTATAAACAAATAAGTGTGGAACTACTAGTGTCACCATGAACATGCAAATCACGTTTCCTTTAAATTCGTGTGCCTTATTTATCTTCCGGATTGAGCGTTGTAAAAAAGATTTGAATCAAAGATGTCGTTAAGGAGACGTAGAAGGCAATACCAGCAGCTTATTGCGTTTCAACCGAGCTTATTGAGCCTGAATATGCTTTTCGCGAAACTTCAGAAAGACTTGGCAGAGATGTATCCACTGGGCATGCATGTTCTCAGCAGTGGTCACGGGAAGGTACTATCTCAGGAAGGTTGGGGTTCGGTCGAATACCTGAAACCATTCAAAGGAAAGATCCTCGTATTCGCTGCGTGTCTGTGACGCATTGCACTGCATCTGCAGCAGACACTCGAGAGTTTTGTTGGCTCCAAAGTGACTCAGAGAACTGTAACAAATCAATTACTTGAAGAACAGCCTCGAGCCAAACGCCCTGTAGGGGCCACATCACTAACTCGAAATTATCGCCCTCTGAGAATTCAGAGGTGTCAAGCTAGAGCTCATCGGGAAGGAGGGGGGCAGAGTGATCTGCTGTGTTCTCAGATGAGAGCCATTTCTGTCTTGGGCCAGTGATAGCCGTATATTGGCTAGAAGGCGGCCAGGTGAACGTTTGGAATCAAGCTTTCAACGGCATAGACACACTGGACCTACACCAGAAATTATAGACTGAAGAGCAGTTTCTTACAGCAGGGTTCGTCGTTGTCCAGTGCACCTTGACAGCAAATCTGTGCGTCAGAATAGTGACTGCACCGGTTGTGCTACCATTCTTGAGCAATATCCCAGAAGACATTTTCCAACAGGGTAACGCTGGTCCCCATATTGCTGCCCAACATACTCTACAGAATACAGATATGTTGCTTTTTGGTCTGCGAATCCACCTTATCTTTCTCCCATTAAGCACGTATGGGACATGGTGTCCGCCGAAAACATCGCGAAGAAAGCAATGCAACATCGTGGTAGAAAAGAAAACAAGGAGAAATCATTGCAATTCTAAAACATCGTGGTATAAAATATTGCGGTCGAAAATAAAACAGATTCAAAAACACCGCAGTTTTAAAACATCGTCGGTTTGTGACGATCTACTATGAATCATTGCATGACGAAAATATCGTAGATAAGTGTTTTCTAGGGTTTAACAGTCATGAATGCATGTTCGCATAATGATTTCCGAGCGGACGGAGGAATGAGGAATATCTTTACCTCTAAATTTCATTTTTTTGATTATTTAACTAATTGAAAGAAAGCAAGATTTAATTTTTTCTAAAAGAATATCAGATTAACAAAGTAAAAAAATAACTTTACAATCTTATAATTAATGAATGAAGCATGTTTTCGCATGTAACCATGGGACATGATTGGATGACAAATACAGCGTAATCCACAATCAATACGGACCACTGCTGATTTGACTGAACAAGTGCAACAGGCATGGAACTTCATACCTTCAGAAAATGACTTATGGCACATGTGCGACACAATGCATGCATATTTGCATGCTTGCATTCAACGTCGTGGCGACTACGGTGTTATTAATGTACTATAATTTCGCCTTTGAAATAGCTCTTCTTGGGTATACTTTAACTTGTTACCTTGAAACATTAATCAAACAAATATCTTGTAAGGTTTTCCTTATTTTGCATAACAAATTTATTTTAAGTTTGATACCTGTTTTAGATTTCTCAACTTCCCCTCACATTCTCTCGCCAGGATGTAAATTTAAAGTTAAGTAAAGTGCTTATTTAAACGGGTGAATATATGAGTTTTTCAGAGCGTGTTTCGCTAGCCAAGCGCACGTTTCATTGTTATTTCGCGATCACGCTAGTAAGCCTCTTGGCCTTATCAGATTAGTATCACGCCGGTTAGATTCCTGTGAGTCCACCTCTTTAGGCGTAGCTTAAATGCGATCTTGCACTATTTATTTTAGGTTTGACTTGTATTATATTCTACGTTTTAGTTTCCACCGCAAGTTGACGGTGTCTTTGCAACGCACGAAGTCTGTGCCTTTCTGTTAACTAGTTTGAATTAACAAAGGGTTATTTTTACCCTTTGTCTGAGTCAGTAGTTTTATTCACGCCTGTGCCAGAATTCGCCAGGTCATTATAGGGTCTATTCTAGTTTATGTGGAACAAGAGAGGCAGACTCTATAATGTTACCTCAACAAAGGCTTTGGTTATATATCATTGCTTTAAATTAATTTCTTTTGGGGGTTGGGATTTCATTTCCATTAGTGTAGTTCTTAAATAAATTTAATGGAAGTCTTAAACTGTTGCAGTCAAACTCACTTTACAAAACTTAATATAAATTAGTTTCAATAGCATACCATTTTAGTGCTTTGGAACAGATTTTTGTTAATTTTGGAATGCCCTGAAATCTCTTAATCGTAAATATAAGCGATTGCTGTTCAATCACAACATAATAGTTGTATTCCAAGCTATATGAAGTGTCAATGCCACTTGAAAACTCTTTACTCGAATAATTTGCTGACGAATCTTTGCAGAATGACTGTATAAAAGTCCAGCCACATCACGGAAATCTTTTCATTAAAAGAAAACTATTTGGACATAGTTTCCGCTTCCGGTTAACTCATGGCAGTAACAGAAATTAGATCTGCTTAATGGAAATTAGATCCTGGATTTCAGTTCCAGTATGAGTGCATGTTTAGAAACCAGGATAGAGAGTTGTTCTTTGTATAAACAAATAATAAGATTTCTAACAGTTGGAGAGTGGGACACAAATCTACAGTTTACTACTGTTTGATCACACAACAATGCAACTCTTGCTGTGCTCTGCCAGAACATTTAGATTCGCCTAAAATATCCATCTAATGGGGTTGTAAAATTTATTTTTATTAAGTTATTTAATAAAGTGCATGACGATGGTATTGCGATCATTTATGTAATTGTTATCAAATATTTTCTGCTTAAGTTAAGCCATAAGGAAATAAAATCACGAAAGGATCCTGTTTCATACATATTGCAGTCATCCACGCTGTTTAATAAATACAGTGGTTTTGGTCTCGCATGTATCTTCGTTCATGGTCAGTGCTTCTGTGGAAAGATGGCAAATGTGAGTATTTAGTTTCGTTGTCACATTTGCCCTACATTGTCTAATTTAATTTTCCGAATTCCTCTTTTTAGGCTTTATATATGAATATGAAACATGTCTTTTAAATACAAACCATGTCATATATTTCGATTACCTGCGCTTATATTGTTTTCGTTTAAACTTTGGTGAAGCGTTTAAGTTTTGACAAAATTCAGAAGTAGTTGGACATTTCTTTTTAATACAAAAACTCTAATGCATCTGAATAGGTGAAATACGTTTGCTCATTAAAGAAGAAAGATCAGTGACAACTGACCTCGAAATCTACAGAGGATTTATTTGAAATAACTATTAATCTGAGAATTAATTTTGTTTAAGTTTAAATTTCAAGCTGATGTGCCATGTACTTTGGAACAACATCTTCATATCACATCTTCTAAAAGTAAAATGTATTTTTTATAATAATAATATTGTCGCACACCGTACATATAATATCTTTAAAATGATGAATTTTAACTCGCTAAAGCTCATTACAATAAATTTTTATACATGTTTTACATCGCTTTATTAAACTATTTAATATTTATTCACTGTAAATGTAATTAAATAATTATATGAAAATGAAGGAGCTGCATAACATCTCACTTCAAAAATTATGTTAAAATTAAACTCAGTTTTCAAGCTGATTCAATACTACGCATAAATTCAGTTAAGTACAATCAACATTTTTCTTGGACATAATGGTAAATATTATTAATATTATTTTAAACTTAAATCAAGTTACACATTAGGTACCAGAAAGTATTCATCGTTTTTCACATAAATAGAAGTTGTGCAAGTTGACAGTTTTATTTTTTAACTCACTTTTATGATTTAAGGAGGTACTTAAAGTACCCTCAAAATGCATACTTTAAGTAACAGCACACTTTTCTCTTTTATTATTGTAGATATGAATGGAATACTATAAAGTGCATTTATGTCACAGCATTCTTTTTTGTTTTAAAAGAATAAAGAAAGAAAAATTGCTGCCGAAACAGTATGGATAATATATGAAAATCTTCATCCGTCGATATGTGTGCGCGTGGTGCAAAAAGTCTAGAAGGCGCACTGACGGGCAAAGTGCGTTTAGGGAAGATCAAAAGAATTCAAAGGCGATGAACTGCAAGAACGTTTAGATAGAAACATACTAGTGGATTTGGAAAACAAATTTATGTAGCTTCTTCAAAAAAGTATATTTAAAAATCAGACGAGCTTTTGACAGAGCCTAATAATTTTCAATTAGCCTGTACATTATCCTGAAAAAAAAAGTTTTATTAATTCAAATTTTTCTCAGTATATACACATTGCCAGATTAATTAAAGTAAATAGGAATTTTGCTGTGAAATAATTATATTCGAATGAATAATCTACATTTCGAAACATCTAACGAGAAAACGAAAAATCATCATTTCGACATTTTTACCTGGGTGTAGTGACCTGTCATTGGATATTTTGGTGCTCTGAAAGGACTGATCCATTTTGGATAAAAATCTTTGACTTCATCGTAAAGACTTTGTATTGTTGATTCCCAATCAGATGTCGGTAATGAATTTCCAGTTTTAGCTCTTGTTGCAATATTTTGACCTACCGAGAAGGCTTCTAAAAAGGGAAAGACAACTTAATTTGAATAAAAACATTCATATTAACAAATACTATGTATATTATATAAATTTTGGGCAAACATTTGGGTATACAGAGAGTGACCTAAGTTAAAGAAATTCTGTATCTAGAATAAATATAGTAAAAATATGCACCTTAACATGAATTTTGTAAATACTGAATCGTTTCACCTTCAAACGTGACCTCACTAAATTAAAAAGTTTTGTTTCTGGGAGATATAATTAATCTTCAAGCTTATTCATCTTTTAATCAGCATAAAATTTTACCGGTTTCCTTATCATCTACAGTTATTTTATCTTGATTTCTACATTTGCTGTCACATGTTCGGATGGTATTGATAAGATTCCATATGCTGAATTTGAAATTTAATAATAAATTTATTTTGGCTAGCATATCATGTGTTACTGAAAGTGCTTGCAATATTTATATTACTTTTCTTAAAGAAATATGTAAAAAATAACAAGTTAAAAATAATAATAAGCTAAACATAATAAGATAAAAAAATAAGCAAAAAAAATTCTAATTAAAATATAAAAATTTAAGGAAAAAATAAAAATAAAATATTTAAGAAATGCTCCTAAATACGCAGCAGATGAGACTAGGAATTAATTATAAATGCTTAATTAAACTTTTTAAATATTTATTGAGCATAGATCTTAAGTGATTATAAATACGCATCGAGGGTGTATATACGGGGGTAACTAATCTCGCAAAAATAGGGGAATAAATACCGTATTCTCGCCTGTATAAGCCGCATCCTTAATTTATACCTCTAATTTTGGAAAAGAAAAATTCAAAAAAAAAAATTTTTTTTTCCATGTGAAAACAGCTGAAATGAAAATAGTACTTACCACACACTAAGACAAAATTTTTATTATCGATCAAAAAGAAACGTGTTTCGATATTTAGTACCTCTTATTCACTGCCACTGTCGGTACCACTAAAAAAACTGTCTGCACCACCTGTGTCACAGTCGGCTGGTATCGGTATCCCACAGCATGCCATCCTCAGAGCCATCTAGAGCAGAGCTTCTTAAACTTTTTTCAGTCGCGACCCCTTTTTATCACTGAGATTTTTTCGTGACCGCGAATCCGACAAACGCATGAGTGAAACTTTCAATGTTTCACTTGTACTATAATATACTATTATTGCAGTTTTAGGTCATTAATTTCTAATTTTAAGACATAGAACAATGTGAAAATTTTAAATGAGTGGCAGACGAAATGACAGCGTGCGATGTCGGAAGCTGTCCAAAACTAAAAAATGCTCTCAGGTTTCAGTAAACCATTGAATCTTCTAAAATGTTTTTATCTAGCCCAGTATGAGATTTTCTTGCATTCACATCTTTTCCTGTGCAAGCACAAAATTTCGCACAGTCTGCACAAAAATACGCAAGGCTTTCCGCACAGTCTTTCGTTTTAACACAATGTACGGTGGCAGTTTTCTTTCATGTACCAGAACAACCAGCATAACTGTACATCGCTGCATCTCATCCCCTACAGTCTTGATGCGTATTGCCTGAAAGCATCATCGTGAAAAGCTACTAGACATAGGCATGACCCGATAAATGGAAGTTTTATCTTCATTACCGATTTAAGACAACGTATACCCATTATATTGCCGCTTGCGAATAACCTATCTCTGAAATTTCCAAATTTCCAACTCAAAGTCTGCCGGAAGGCATTGTGCAACTGCTATCCTACGAGGTAAAGAAAAACCATTCTTGCGCATAAAAAGTGCATGACATCCTGCACTTGATTAAAAATCTCTGCTTATATCCATACGATCAGCTTCTTCATAAGCTTGAAAGTGTGTCACATCAACAATTACAGCATAACCAAAATTCTTTTATCATTTAAATACGAAAAAACATTGTCTTCCAAATGCGGATACTTTGTTGCTTTTCCACAAAACGCTTTCCTCTTGTGGCTTGTTCATTGAAAGTACAATTTTATGCTTTTTCCACCGTCACACTTTGGATTCTTCCACGTCAAAATGATGTGATGCCGCTCGATTCCCGTTTTCTTTAGAGAAACGGATGGCTTGTGATTTAAAGTGTGCATCATAGCTAAATTGATCTCCTGACAATTTCCTGCGGGTAACTTGAAGCCACAATTAACTTGTACAATTCTCTGTAACGTTCACCCAACCACGATGGATTTTTATACTCAATCATTAAATGCACTCTGCTGTGTTGCCACATGTTTGTATGTACCTACTTCTGATCATTCGCGTGTATAAGCCGCATCTCTGATTTTCATCTGCTGTCTTGTGAAAAAAGTGCCAATTATACACACGAGAATACGGTATTTACTTTGGACATTGTTGAATAAAATGGTAACTCTGTAGAGACATTAGGCATTTTTTGGCAGCAGAAGAGATGAAAAGTTAAAAACCGCCTTCGCCGGGAATCGAACCACTGGAATACCAGCCCAGCGTGCAGAACCACTACACCACGAAGGCACGCTAGGAAAGCGGGAGAAATACCTTATAACTCTTCTGAAAATGAGCCATAGACACCAGTTAAGAACCTTTTACTGGTTTCTGTGGATTTCTACTGGTGTCAAAAATATCTTGTTGATACCAGAAATCAATAGAATCGTATTGATACCCGTACAACCAACATCAGTGTTAATGATGCTGGTTTGTACTGTTCATATTGATCTCTACTGGTTTTCTTCAATAGAATCCGACTGACACCAGTACATCAGAAATCGATGTTAATAATTATATGGGTTTGTGCAGGGTGTTTTTACTGACATTAGTAGAACATTTTGGTAAACAATGAAAATTAATACTGACATAATAAGGAAAAATTAAATACTTTAATGTTGTCCACTGACTCTTTTTTAATTTTATGTCTGCATCACATTTGTTTCCCTATTACTTTTCAGATATTGCCACCAAATATTATTTTCAAAGAAATAATATAGCGATTGCAATACAAATGAAAGAATGTTGCCACCAAATGTAACCTGTACGTATTATTTTTAAGGAAATATTATAGCGAATATGAAAAGACATATGGCAACATAAATGAAAGGATGTTGTTACAAATGTTATGACTAGGTATTACTTTTAAGGGAAAAATATAGCGAATATAAAAAACTGCATGGCAATATTTAATATTTTATCGGGAATTCTAAAGATATCCGATACAAATATTTTTAACACCCACGCGCCAGTTTGTTGGCATTTGGCGAAGCGAAAGATTTAATTTTAAATTTAAATTTGAAGTAATGATTTGATTTTAAATTTTAAATATTTAATTTTAATTTTAATCTTAATAACAGGCTAAGCGATATAAAAGCAATAAACGCAGTTCTTTATTTCTTTCATTAATTACCAGCTGGATCCACGAAATAATAGATTTTGAAAAGTGAAACGGACAACAAAAATGATTCGAAGCAAAACAGAAATTCGAGAACAATAGCTCTTCTGGGTTAAAAAATATACGTACTGTATAGAAGCATGTGTAAATGTTTATTAGGTATTTTCTCTCTTCTTGCCGCATACCGTCGTGGTGTAACTGTGAGCATACTCGATGCGCATTCCAGAGGTAAAGAGTTCGAGTCCCGGCGAGGGCATTTCAACTTTCCCGCTCAAAAAAAAAAAAAAAAAAAAAAAAAAAAAAAAAAAAAAAAAACTAATGACTCTGCAAGCTCCGTGGCTAAAAAATTAGCACTGTGCTGAGAATTCTAAATAATATTTTAAAAATATTTTGTGTTGAATTTTATGTGACATGAGTGATGCTTAACAGTAAAGTTAAAAAGGAAAAAAAAAGCAAGATAAACTTCCTTGCTCAACGAGAGCATAAGAAACCTTAAAACTCTGGTGCTATGTTAAAATTTAAAACCTTTCGTAATTTCTTTAATTCTGTTTATGCTATTTTTCAATATTCCATATTTATTTTTTGTTACTGCTCAGGAAAGCCGTGCCTAGATATTTTGCCACCTAAGGCAAAGAACTCTTATATAGAGTTAAATTAATTATACATGAACACTTTTACGTTCATCAAATATAACTATTTTTCTCTAAATCTCATATATTTCTAATCGTAGCTTTATATATTCGATTTATAGTATTTATTTGAAAGACATTAAACCGTAGCCTTTTTATGAGTGACAAACAACACTTAAATACTTTTATTAATAATATAGTTCATACAAAAGGTATTGCCCTAATGCTCAAGTACTTTTTTATAATTTAATTTTCTAATTTTCACGTTGCAAAATAGCCAAATTTAAAACCTATATTTAACGAAGTGGAAGGATCTTATATAATTGTTTATTATTTTTAGCTTACTGAAGCTTCTATCATCACTAACAACAGTAATTGGCAGTATTCTTAACGCATCTTCCAAATTTTAATAATATTGAGCTAACTGTGCCTGTTTCAAATTACGTAAAATTTCATGAAATTAATTTTTCAGAAATGGAAATCGAAAGATGTTTCTTTTACTTTTTTATATTTCCATTTTTTGTAAGATTAAAATGTCTATCACTTCTTTCATTTTTACTCTGAAATAATATTTTTCTAAAAAATTAGTTATGTTGATTATGTACAAATTAATTATGCGAATCGATTTTTGACAGTTTGCTTTATTAAGATTTCTTATTCATTTCTCTTCAATTATTAACCTTTCTTATTCATTTGACAACTTTTCTTACTGCCTCTTATCTGTAGGCAAACCCTCGTTTTCATAATCTTCTTCTTCAACACCCATTGCAAGACTAACAGACCGAAAGTAATATCTGATGGTTGATTCTGTTACTAGTAGACACAAATTTTCTAGCGATAGCGTTGCATCAAGAAGTGAAACGTTACAATGTATTTCTCCAAAATGCTTAATATGAGCTGCCTGTTGTAATGATGCTTCAGGCTCTTCATCACGCCTTGGTTGATAGGTTGCAGAGCTGAAGTTGCCTTTCGAGGGAAAGGAAACAATCTTAATCCATTTTAAATTTTCGACATCTGCG